GATCCTAAGATCACCACCACCAGCAACCATCCGACAAGCTGGGACCCTATCAACCACTAATGGCTTTCAGACGGCCCCATTATGATCACCCTCGAACACCTAATTATTCGTCAACATGACTTACCACGAAGGTCATGTATGTTCAAATCCCCCCGTTACATAGTAGCAATAAATGCTACACATACCACTTGTGTTTTCAACAAGTTTTTTTTACTCTTTTACCCTCTTGCCTATACCAGTCGATTGACTCAACCCCTCCTCATTCGAAATAACGACTTACAAGATGAAACATTCTCATCAAGCCAGCGACCGCATCCACCACGTCACCTCTTCTTTGTGGAAACTTCTCCAAAACAACATGAAATACCTCTGCTACTTCGTACAAACTCACCTACTTCCAAGACTATGATTAAAATATCATCCTTAAATATACGTTGGCCTCAACTCACCATTCAAAAGATCTTCACTACAAAAAGAAGCTCGCTCGTTGCAGGCTGATGTCCTATTCCTTCAATAATCCCACTTTGCCACCAACAAAATCCCCAAATTTCACATACACCATTTTTCTTCAATCTATATAACAAACAGCCCCAAAAAGAAGACCGGCGTCATCACAGCCATTAGAGAATCTCTTCAATACCACTTAATTTCAGAAATCGCAGACCCTCAAGGACGCTACCATATCCTGATATGCAAAATTAATGGAATTCTGTACACCATGGTCAACATCTATGGACCAAACACCAATCAGCTCCAATTCTACAACAAAATAAATTCTATTATTTCCACTCAGAAACAAGGCAGACTAATTATAGGAGGAGACTTCAACATTATCGGCAACCCACTCCTGGACTCTTCCTCTAGCAAACGCTCCTCCAAACAATCTTTTAACATCTTTCTACACAAAAATAACCTCTACGACATCTGGCGATGCCATCACAGTACGGAAAAAGACTACACCTACTACTCCCCCTCTCAGCTTTCCTACTCCAGAATTGACTTTTTCATCACGGACAAGTGGACTTTACAACATGCCACATCCTCCAAAATTGGTACCATAACCTGGTCAGATCACGCTCCAATTTCCATCTCCTTAGATCACAATCAACACTCTTCAATACCCCGAATCTGGAGACTTAACACATTCTTACTGAAGAACCTGGACCACAAAAAACTCATATTGGGATGCTCACAATATGTTTTTTGACATAAATGACTCACCTGAAACATCGATATACACATTATGGGCCACATACAAGGCATACATGAGAGGTATCCTTATACAATTAAATTCCCGAATCTCCAAACAGAGAAACCAACAAATCGACGAACTCCTCCTCTCCAATAAAACAAAAGAAGAATTAAACAAAAAATCCCCAAGCTCCGCAACATCTGCCCAACTCACCACTGACAGAAACAAACTTAGAACGCTCCTGCTCTATAAATATGACCTCAACATTCAAAAAACAAAAACTACATTTTACTCCCTTAGCAGCAAAGCCAACTCCTTACTAATCAAAAAATGATTAAACGACGACGACTAAGAAATAAAATATCTTCAGTTTATCATCCATCCTCACGATCCCTAACCAGGCTAATGCTTTCGCGACCTATTACCAACAACTATACAACCTTAAAGACGACCCCAACACCATTCAACCAACACCCACGTCCATACAACAATTCCTCCACACAATTAAACTTCCTCAACTTTCCTCAACCCAATTTGACAACATATCAGCTCCGATCACACCCACTGAAATAGAATCCACCATTAAAACACTTTCTCTTAACAAGTTTCCAGGAAATGACGGTTATATAAAACAAGTACTACAAACAATTTGCCCCTAACCTATCACCATATCTGACTAGACTCTTCAACCATGCGGTTGTCCAAAATTATAGACCAATTTCCCTACTCAACACAGACGTCAAACTCTATGCAAAAATTATAGCACACAGACTACTCCCCTATCTCCGCACTTTGATACACCCAGACCAAGTAGGATTCATACCAGGCCGCCAGGCACCTGACGCTACTAGAAGACTCATATCCCTCATCCATCACTTAAAACACACCAAACAACCCTCATTGCTTTTATCACTGGACGCTGAAAAAGCATTCGACCGTGTACACTGGTTATTCTTGCACATGACCCTACATAAATTTGGCATCACAGGTTGGATGTTAACAGCCATTTTAGCACTTTACTCCCTCCCATCAGCCAGAGTATTAACGGACGGAACACTATCAGACCCCTTTGATATTACCAATGGCACCAGACACGGTTGCCCCCTATCTCCGGTCATATTCGCATTACTTATTGAACCCCTAGCCACTAAACTTCCAGACGACCCACTGTTCACTGGTATACGATACCTTAACACTGAGCACAAAATCAGCTTATTCGCAGATGACATCATACTGATGATTACCAACCCAGCCACATCCCTCCAAACAATACGTACCCATCTTCAACAGTATACGACGGTAACCTACTATAAACTAAACGAGCCCAAATCCTCAATTTTAAACCTCCACACACCATATCTCACTCAACTATCCGTTGCTTAACAATCTCCCTTCACTTGGGAAAAAAATAATATCCCATATTTAGGAATCAAACTCTCGACCACAACAGACCAGCTATTTTCCGCGAACCACAAAAAATTACTTGATACGATACCCCAAGAAATTGCCAACCTTCGTACCTCAGAACTATCTAAATTAGGCAGGGTGGTGACATTAAAAATGCTCATCCTACCGAAAATTCTCTATATTTTCTGAACACTCCCAATACCGGTCCCCAATTCTTTCTTCTCCAAAACTCCAATCAATAATTACAAGATTCCTATAGAATTCCAAAAAACCTAGATGTACCACCAATCTCTTAATCAGACCACCCTCCAAAGGAGGCGCTGCACTTCCACACCTTAAATCCTACTATAATGCCTGTCAGGGCTCCCAGGTATGACCAGAGGTGTGTGACTGATGCAGGGAAACGCAGACTTCAGATATGTGATAAACAATACAATTTATTAACACTAACAATACAAACATAAATGCAGTGCAATACTAAAACATAACACAGTGCAAACAAACCAAACCAACCACCCACAGATAACAGTATATACAAGCAAGCGTCGTCAGGCAGGCCGGGTCAATATCAATGGGCAGGTAGGTACAGGGGGAGCAAGCAGAGAATGGTCGGGGTCACAGGCCAGGTTCAGCAGGTAGCAAGCAGCGTAGTACAGAGGGTCAGACAGAAGGATGGTCAGGGTCACAAGCCAGGATCAGAGCAGGAGAAGTCAGCAAAGGAACAGAAACAGGATGCAGGACAGATACAGGGCCCAGGACAAACACAACACCAAGGCAGAGTCTGCAAGTCTGGCCATCCCTTAAATACCCCAGCATCATCAGTTCCAGGTGTTAGCTGGCTGAGAGGTTGAGACTCTGATTGCTGGGAGCACCCGCTGGCCAGCCCTGGTACTGCAGATCAAAAGCAGGTGAGTCCCACCATTGCTGGCCAGTCCATTCCTAACAGTACCCCCCCCTCAAGGAGCGGCCTCAGGACGCTCCAAACAGTCCTAGCTGGGCAAAATGTTCCACCGCCCGGGTCTGGCAACTGGCGGGATATCAAAGACTGGCACACACGGGCAGGACTCCGGGCAGCGGCACACCCGGGCTGGACTCCGGGCAGAGGCACATCGAGCAGAGGCACATCGAGCAGAGGCACACCGGGCAGAGGCACATCGGGCAGGACTCTCCGGGGCAGAGGCACATCGGGCAGGACTCCGGGCAGAGGCACACCGGGCAGAGGCACATCGGGCAGGACTCCAGGCAGAGGCACATCGGGCAGGACTCCGGGCAGAGGCACATCGGGCCGGACTCCGGGCAGAGGCACATCGAGCAGAGGCACACCGGGCAGAGGCACATCCGGGCAGAGGCGGGCAGAGGCACATCGGGCAGCAGGACTCCGGGCAGAGGCACATCGGGCAGGACTCCGGGCAGAGGCACATCGGGCAGGACTCCGGGCAGAGGCACATCGGGCAGGACTCCGGGCAGAGGCACATCGGGCAGGACTCCGGGCAGAGGCACATCGGGCAGGACTCCGGCAGAGGCACATCGGGCAGGACTCCGGGCAGAGGCACATCGGGCAGGACTCCGGGCAGAGGCACATCGGGCAGGACTCCGGGCAGAGGCACATCGGTTTTACCAGGCGAAGCAGCAGGCAGCGGGCCACCAGGCGGAGCAGCAGGCACCGGGCCCCGGGCGGAGCGGAGCAGCAGGCACCGGGCCCCCGGGCGGAGCAGCAGGCACCGGGCCCCCGGGCGGAGCAGCAGGCACCGGGCCCCCGGGCGGGGCGACAGGCACCGGGCCCCCGGGCGGCGGCAGCAGGCACCCGGCACCTGGGCCCCCGGCGGAGCAGCAGGCACCGGGCCCCCGGGCGGAGCAGCAGGCACCGGGCCCCCCGGGCGGAGCAGCAGCACCCGGGCCCCCGGGCGCGGAGCAGCAGGCACCGGGCCCCCGGGCGGAGCAGCAGGCACCGGGCCCCCGGGCGGGGCGACATGCATCGGGCCCCCCGGGCGGAGCAGCAGGCACCGGGCCCCCCGGGCAGAGCAGCAGGCACCGGCCCCCGGGCAGAGCAGCAGGCACCGGGCCCCCGGGCGGAGCAGCAGGCACCGGGCCCCCGGGCGGAGCAGCAGGCACCGGGCCCCCGGGCGGAGCGGCAGGTCTCGGGCCCTCAGGCGGAGCGGCGGGCGCCGGACCCCCAGGAGGAGCGACAGGTCTCGGGCCCTCAAGCGGAGCGGCGGGCGCCGGACCCCCAGGCGGAGCGACAGGGTCTCGGACCCCCAGATGGAGCGACAGGTCTCTGGGCCCTCAGGCGGAGCGCGCGGGCGCCGGACCCCCAGGTGGAGCGACAGGTCTCGGACCCTCAGGCGGAGTGGCGAGTGCCCGGACCCCCAGGTGGAACGACAGGTCTCAGGCCCCCAGGCGGGGCGGCGGGCACCGAGTCACCAGGCACAAACCGTGGGCTCCGAGTCAACTGGGATGACCGCTGGCACTGGGTCAGACATTGGATCGTCTGGCTGGACAGCGGGCACTGGGTCACCAGGCATCAGGTCATTTGGCTCGACAGCGGGCACCGCGTCATCTGGCAAGGCAGTGGGCTCCGAGTCAACTGGTATGACCGCGGGCACTGGGTCAGACATTGGATCGTCTGGCTGGACAGCGGGCACTGGGTCACCAGGCATCAGGTCATTTGGCTTGACAGCGGCCACCGCGTCATCTGGCAAGGCAGTGGGCTCCGAGTCAACAGGCACGACAGTTGAGCACCGGGGGTCATCAGGTACCGGATTGTCTGGCTCGACAGCGGGCATCGGGTCACCAGGTATGACAGCGGGCACTGGGTCACCAGGCATCAGGTCATTTGGCTCGACAGCGGGCACCGGATCAGGTACCGGATCATCTGGATCAACAGCGGGCATCGAGTCAACTGGCCTAATAGGATCGTCAGGCTGGATCAGTTCATCATGCTGGGTAGTAGAGGCATCAGGCGAGTAGAGGCTTCAGGCCGAGTAGAGGCTTCAGGCCGAGTAGAGGCTTCAGGCCGAGTAGAGGCATCAGGCCGAGTAGAGGCATCAGGCCGAGTAGAGGCATCAGGCCGAGTAGAGGCATCAGGCCGAGTAGAGGCTTCAGGCCGAGTAGAGGCATCAGGCCGAGGCCAGGCCGAGTAGAGGCATCAGGCCGAGTAGAGGCTTCAGGCCGAGTAGAGGCATCAGGCTGAAGAGAGGCATCAGGCTGCGTACAGGCATCAGGCTGAAGAGAGGCATCAGGCTGCGTACCGGCATCAGGCTGAAGAGAGGCTTCAGGCTGAACCACGGAAGGCAGGCTCACCGGTTTGGATACTGGCAGGATGGTATTGGTTGGAAAGAATTTTCGCTTTTTTCTGGTTTTAACTACTGGAGCACTGCAAGTAAACGCAGGTCTGCAAACGAATGGAGCAGCTGGAGACAGAGAAGAACTGGAGGATGGAACAGGAGAGGGAGCGGTTGCTACAGAGGGCTTTTTACAGGGTTAAAGGCAGGATAGGTGCAGCGAGTGGGAACAGGGTACTGACATGCGGTAGATAGCAGGGCAGGAGGAGCTGTTGGGAATGCAGGAATAGAGTTTTGAGGAAATAGATTAGAAGCAGGACTGGGTCTTTGTAAGCTGACTGAGGCTGGGTGCAACAAATCTGTCCATGTCTGCAGTATGGGTTGAACAAAGCTGAGCTTACACAAAGCCTGTCTGGTCAATGACTGCACTGCGTTTATACAGTCTCTTAGTACCTGTGGTGAACATGTGGAATAACGCTCCAGAAAGTAACCCACATCATCCTCTAATAACCACACCAGGGACTCTACCTGGTCTGCACTAAATGGTGGCAAAAATTCATCCCTGCATTCGGGGGAACCAGATGAAACCAATTCAGCACAAACTTCAATCAAAGGCTGCACCTCAGAGAACTCTATGCCCTGATCTACTAGAACATGAGCGAGCCGTATACATTCTAGCAGTTCATCCCGGGTATACTCCTTCAGAGTCTTATAAGCATACTCCCTGTCATCAAACACTAGCAGATATAAATATTCAACCTCATCCAGATCCATCCTTCCCATCAACAAGCCAAGATGGCTTCCCTGTGCAGCCACTTCTGGTCAGGATTGGCCTTGGTGTAATGTCAGGGCTCCCAGGTATGACCAGAGGTGTGTGACTGATGCAGGGAAACGCAGACTTCAGATATGTGATAAACAATACAATTTATTAACACTAACAATACAAACATAAATGCAGTGCAATACTAAAACATAACACAGTGCAAACAAACCAAACCAACCACCCACAGATAACAGTATATACAAGCAAGCGTCGTCAGGCAGGCCGGTCAATATCAATGGGCAGGTAGGTACAGGGGGAGCAAGCAGAGAATGGTCGGGGTCACAGGCCAGGTTCAGCAGGTAGCAAGCAGCGTAGTACAGAGGGTCAGACAGAAGGATGGTCAGGGTCACAAGCCAGGATCAGAGCAGGAGAAGTCAGCAAAGGAACAGAAACAGGATGCAGGACAGATACAGGGCCCAGGACAAACACAACACCAAGGCAGAGTCTGCAAGTCTGGCCATCCCCTTAAATACCCCAGCATCATCAGTTCCAGGTGTTAGCTGGCTGAGAGGTTGAGACTCTGATTGCTGGGAGCACCCCGCTGGCCAGCCCTGGTACTGCAGATCAAAAGGCAGGTGAGTCCCACCATTGCTGGCCAGTCCATTCCTAACAATGCCACTCTCCTGGACCAAATATATTTTTGGTGGCACCCAACCAGAGAAAAGTCCTGGTCCACAATGGAAACCTCACCTTTTTTCCCACTTAAACCACACCATCTACTCTTAACTACAATATTCTCGCAAACGACCTATTACTTAAAGCATCCATGTATCCAAGCCACTCTTCAAGCTTGGAAATATCTTTTATCCACAGATTACGCAGACTCCAAACAACTCCAGACCCCACTCAACATATTACATTCCATTACACCCTCCCTAGATTTAACCCAGTAGGAAAAACGAAACATACATCATATAGCAGATCTTTACAAAAATCACATCCTGCACTCATTTCATTATCTCCAAGTCACATATAATCTCCCTGCCGCTGAATACTTCACCTACCTAGGAATCACACACTGCATCCAAACAAACAACATACCCCATACCATAAGAATCCCGGCTACAGCCTACACTTATTTCTCCAGACCGCATTACCCAAGTAAAGGCATCTCTACCTTCTACAAATATTTAACAGACCTGCAATTCACTTTAAAATCTACCTCTTTATCCAATTGGGAAAAAACTCACATTGGGAATCCTACTTGAAAATACTTCATCAGTGGTACCTAACCCCCACCAAACTAGCCATTTTCTACCCAAATCATCCCCCTTCTTGCTGGCCACAATGCGGGGACATAGGCTCCACTCTTTCACATACTATGGGCATGCAAATCTATTAAATCTTTTTGGAATAGTATATTCCGACTAATAACCGAAGTTTCCAAAATAACGACAACTCCTAATCCGGCACTTGCACTCTTACACATCGGGATTAACAATTTCCCTTGTACCTCCCGTACCATCATTGTCCACATACTTTTTGCAGCTAAACTAAATATAACCCGATTATGGAATACAACCACAGCTCCTTCCCTTCAATCGCTAATTTCAGATCTCAACTTGCAATGTGAAATGAAAAAAAGAGACTGGCCATTAATACCTCCACCCAACATAAGTTTAACTCCTTATGGTCCAACTGGTTACAAAACCCTAACTGCTCCGTAAACCCCTGATACCTTACAATCAATCGCTCTACTTACCCACGTCAGACTGGTACTCCTTCCCTATTCTACCACAAGTTCTCCCCTCCTCCCTGCTACCCACCCTCTATTATTCTCCCCCTGTTTATTACCCCCTTACTACTCACTACTCCTCCTCACGGTTCAGTCCACCCCTAACATACCTCTGATGTTTATGCAGTAACTTTATATCCAACCCTAGCCAAAAGGTGGGGTAACATCTTAATACAGCTGTATTGTATGTTTACATTTATACTGAACCAAATGTTTTCTCCCCTGTTTAACTTTTGAAAAACTATTAATAAAAATTATTGAAATTAAAACTTCTTCTCTAGCCCCATTATCCCCGTCATCAGGATAATAATAATAACATTGCTATAAAAAAAACCTCTATATTTATTTTTTTTCCTCAAATATACTACTATCTCTCAATAAGAAATTAACTAAGTTAAGTAGCAATTAAGCAGAGATAAAGTTAAAAAAAAAGAAAAACTGCATCTGTATAACTTAAAAACTGATCTAGTCATGAAGTGGTTAAATAAGCATTCACTGGATTTGAACTGGATTTTTTATAAACTAGATGAAAAAGTTTTTGTGGTACATTTACTAATCTACTGTGTCTTGAGCTCAACTTTCCCTGATTAAGATACAAAAACAGAATTTATCCTGGATTATCTAAATTTTGGGCCTCCTCTTCCAAATTATAAATATTCATTATTACACAGATGTTCATGTTAATATGTTAGTCCATGGAGGTCTTGACAGTGAAGAAGATTCAATAGTGTGGTGATGAGTAACAAATGAGGGAAGAAAACTTACATTCTTTTTTAGTACCCATGTCTTGGAGCATAAAGGAGTTTCACTGCTAAAACTCTTACAATAGCTGCACTACAACAATGGTTACATGCATGTTTCCCACCTTTCCACAGCGCATCCTATTGGAAATGTAAGTTCTGTCAACTTAAAACCTATATATACCCAATTTTTTTTTTGAAGTTTTAGACTTAGGGTATGCAAATGCTAGGAGCTGTGCCAAAGTATTATTGCTATTATTTGTTACTGTCTGTATCCCCATGCAAGTGATTTCTGTTTTTTTATATGTTTCTGTGTCCCCATAGGAGAGATCTCCCTTCACTTTACATCCAGGTGATGGGTATCAGAAACAAGAGGAAGCAAAGAGAAATCTCCTCTATTATGGAAAAAAAAATCTCATTAGGAAACAAGGCTGTATTTAAAACCTGATAGATGTCCTAAGCCTTCCTAATGTAGTTATTTCAAATCTATATTTTGACATATAGTAACCAGCCACAGGCCTCAATTAATAAGCTTGAACCAACAGAAATGAACTCAGTGGAGTTGATTTACTAAAACTGGAGCAGTGCAGCTGTGCATGGTAGCCACTCAGCTTCTACCTTCAGCTTGTTCTATTAACCTGGAAGTTGATTGGTTTCCTTACAGAGCTGCACCAGATTTTGCACGCTCCAGTTTTAGTAAATTAACTCTATTGATTTGTTTAGTAAGGCAGTGCAAATATTGATGATGATGTGCAAAGTGTTGTAGCCAATAGCAACCCATATGATTTCACTTCACTTCAAGAGAGCAAGGACATTTTTTTGTTACTGTATATCATCATTGGTGTTTATTTTCCTTCATAGAGCAATCCTGGACATTAACAACTGGGGAAGAAGATGCATTTTCATATAATAAACAGGGCTTTAAAAAATAGACAGTAAGCAATAAACTTTGCTGATTCTGGAATAATGTGTGTGCCTACTGTTTTAGTTTGCACAGTTTTAACATTTGTGCAGATTGTAAAATATTAATAAACTACAATTGGACATAAATTATTAAATGGAAGTACGTAAGCACAGCTAGGTTCTTTATCATACATAGATAGACTTAGGGAGCACAGCAAGCCACTAGATCTCATAAATGTTGGTCATGGTCACATAAGATATGAAGGATTATTTTCTGGTTTTCACTGAATGTTACACATTAACCTCTAACTTAAAAAATGCTATATATTAATTTTTAGCCTTATTTATGTGCTGCATTAATAAAGAGGAAATGTCAATAAAAAGGAGAGACAGGAAAAAGGGCCTTTCAAATGTGATGGTCTACCTTAGAGCAGGCAGAGGGACCATCTGTAACAGATTATTGCTCTTTCGACAAGGCGTGGATAGGGTGTGGCTAAATCACTGGAAATTGGAATTTAACTTTGGTGAATGAGATTCATTATAGAAGCCCATACATTTGGAAA